GAAGTCTAAGTAGAAGAATGCTAAATGTCACTTTCCTTTTCCCACCACCAGTCTCAGGTAATGCAGACCATAGTGTTTGTTTAATTTCTTGGCAACAGAATGATGGCTATAAATATTTGGCATTTGTATCTTGACTACTGAAATAAAAGATTTAGAAGGATTGAATGTTTGACTCTATTACCCTTAATCAAAATAAAGACTGATTAATTTTGCTTAAAAATTGGCCATGCATTTCCGTTCTAAAATGTCTTTCCTTTTTTTTAAAGAAAAAAAAGCTACTTCCATTGCTGACAAATTGGAATTGGCTCAGAGGAGAGTGTAATGTAAGGCAACAGGCATCGCTTATGTAAACTTTTCTTGCTTAGGTGCCGCTTGTCATGAGTGTAGCAAATCCTGGCTTGCCTCTTGTACAAGCTGAACAAAGCATTGACTATTTCTTAAAGCCTGTTAAAATGCTTTTATATCTTAATTAGCATTACAGATTTCAAGAATACTAACTTGTTTTAGCAGAAAGCTTTTTAGTGGTGTGTTTTGACACTGAGACCTTGTCTGCATTTGAAAAAAAAGAAAAGAAAAAGAAAAAGGTGCACTGGTGTAGCAGTAATTAAACAGACTCGCCTGGTGTGATATGTGGCCTGAACACCAAGGTCAGCCTGGTCATTGCACTGTTGTCACGTGGTTGTGTTTTGGTTGTGCTTTTGTGTTTTAGCAGTTCTGTTTGCTCACCTACTTGCTTTGTACACCTCTGCCAGCGAGCCAGGGCCCTAGTATTATGTTTGCATTGTACAGGTATGAATGACTCCAAAATGAAAATGTGATTGAGAATGAAGCCATTTTAAAGCAGTTTTAGCTACTAAAAGCAGTTTTTTCCTTTTCACTTATAACTGAATCTCTGTGCTCAGAACTGAACAGCTTTCTTCTCTCTGCTCTGTAATCGTATTTATAGAAAAGTGGAAAACTGTGGCCAAGACTAGCAATCACATGATAACACAGCAGCTGTTATTTGGTACATCTGGAAACTTACCTTGCAAGTAGAATGCTTTTATCTCTGCTCAGGTGTTGAGCCATTGCTCTGCCTGTTCTGCTGGCAACCTCAGAACCTGTTCCCATCTCAGTTCTCTGCAGCCATACCATCCGTGTTTGACTTGGCATTACATACACATGAGAAGACTTGTGAAATTGTAAGGGGGGTGTGCTGGTGTTTTGTTTTGTGGGGTTTTTTTTTTTGAAGTTCGTCATGAGCAAAGTATTACCATATGTTTCCGATGCTTGATTTGATATGCTGGACTTTTCAGACTTTCCACAATTATTTTACTTTTTTTAAAAAGCAATTTAAGCAAGATGAAAAAATGCTCATATCGCCTAAGATTCCTTTCTTTTACCTTTATTAGACCATGGGTTTAGATTTAAGAATACTGTAGGCATTGACAGTACCTAAAGATGGAAAATAATACCAATGGCAAAACAGAGAAAGTAATCGTTAGGCTTCCTTAAAAAAAAATCAATGCTTCCAGTTAATACATTGTTAGGCATGGCAGCTTACTGAATTTTGAATTAGCACAAGCCTTCATCAGTGCAGCATGATGCTTGCCTCAACTAGTTAGGTTTTGAAGCTGAGTACCTGTAAGTTTTTTTTGGAGGTGGTACATGTCCATATCTACATCTGCATTGCAAATTGTATTCAAAGCTCAAATCATGTCACTTTCCTACTTGAGGTGGGGAGGGAACTCCACAAAAACACATGCAAAAAAAGGTTGTGCATGCTCTTGGGCAAAACGGGCCACGTATTTTAAGTAGCTTGCACCCATAACGAAGACTGACAAGCCCAAGTGAGGTCTGCAGAGCCTGAGAGACCTCCCGAGCTGGCAGTGCAGTGGCACCTCTCAGCACCAGGAGCGGCTTTACAATGACCTCCCGTGTCCTTGGCGAGCAGCACGGGTGCAAGGTGCCAGGGCAGTCGCTGGAGCCCTCTGGGCCGCCTGCTTGCCTGGGCAACCTGCCCCGGAGAGGCTGCTCCACACGTCTCTCAGGGAGGGCTTTTCTCTGTGTTTATCCCAGCTCTCCAAGCTGCGGCTGCCTTTACAGGTGTGCCTGGGCTGCGGAGGAAGAGAGGGCATCCAGGGTCCCACCCATGCTCCATCTCCCATGTAATCCTGTAAACTGTGACACTAGGGGAAGGTGCTGAGCCAAGGCACGGCACCTTTGTATGCCCTGAAGTGCCTGCATCTTGAGATGAGAGGCATGATTTATCTGGATGTTTCTTTTTTCAGCCAGGAGCTTCTTTTTTAACCAAGTGGAAAACAAGCTTTTCCCAACTTCTCTTTTTGCTTGCTACTTCTTCACTGACAGCAAGGAAAATAAAAGACAAGACTAAGGAAGAAAGAGAAGAATACAGAGGGGTGTTTAATTCTGTGTCTTATGAAAGAGAGAAAGTACATATTCCTTTTTAAAGATGTATTACTTTTGTTTTAGGGGAGGGGAGGCGGTTCCCTTTGCATGGAAAACACCATTTTTAAATTGCAAATTTTTTGCTGTCCTGAGGCATAGTAGTTGATACAGGTGTACTGTGAAGGACTTTCACACGGGTCTCTGATGTGAAAGATTTACTCTCATGTGCAGCTTTTGATGGGAACCCTAAATAAACCAGTGCTTAAAATCAGTGTGTAGAACAGACTATGGAGGTAAGGGAGTGTAAGATGGACAAGGTGCACCTCCCTGCTGCATGTGGGGGCTGGCTGCTCGCCCAGGAGCACTGGCTGCTGCTCACCCAAATCCTGGGGGTACCGTGGCAGGTGCCAGCTCTCCCAGTAGCTCTGTGGTCCCATCAGTGGTAGCAGTGCCTGCCCTGTCACACATGAAGGGATACGGCCGCTGCATTGGCTTGCTGGTCTGGGGGAGGCCAGGCACATCGGGGACCCCGGAGCTGCCTCAGGATGCCCTGAGGTGAGGGTCTGCATCCCTCTGGAGAACATCTGGCCCCACAGACCGTTGGCGATGCTCCTGGTGGTGCAGAAGCGTTGCTTGCAAGCCCTTGTTGTCTGTACGCTGATATACCAGGAGGAGCATGCCAGAAGTACTCCTTGCTTTCACGTGAGGTGTTTTCATCACCTCTAAAAAAGAATTTATTCCAGTAGCCTGCAAGTTCTTCAGGTGACTGCTCTAACCCTTTAATGCCCTCCTTCCCCCAGCAGTTTTGCTGTTTGCGTGGTTTTGTTTTTGCTGAAGATGAAAGCTTTGCATCACGGAATAGGTACTGTGAAGCGAGATGGAGGAGAGCCGTAGATCCTGACACTACAGGAGCACTACGTGTTGGCATTCACACACCATACTGCCCCCCCGCCACCACCAGAGATTGTTGTCACATTTAGCAGACCTCTTAAGTAAACGTTTTCTTTGTAAATGGCATTGGTTTGGTATTTAATGGAAAGCAGGGGGCTGTGCTGGCAATAATTGTAAAGGTAGGATGCAAGTGAATTGACAGGGGAGATAAAAGAGATTAAACCTCCAGCGCATAATATTTATGTCCCAGCCTTCTGGGTACCGTGATAACAAAGGCCGTGTTACATATACTTCACACTTGCTTCTTTCACCACTCAGAAACTATGAGTCCAATTGCTTTGTGGGTGACTTGATTATCTCTTCATTTTTCAGGGAATAAAAAAGGTCGGTGGAAGTTTATGTAGTGATAAAAGAACAACAATGGGAGTTTGTTAGGGACAGGACAGGGAGGGGATGCTTTCAGGATTTTGTCAGAAGTCATTTCTAGTTGCAGGATGTTTTTTTAATGAGTAGGCACATGTCCTTTTCCTTGATGTGGAGGGCGAAGACAGTATGGGGAGAACTAAGGCAGGGGGAGACAAGTGAAAAACTTGTGCCATATAATAGTCTCACTGACAAAATCTGACTGCTTCGCATTCACTAGTGGATGCTTCTGTGAAACCCGTGCTTTGGTTGCAAGCTGGAACTGCAACCACAAGGAGCCATGTTGAGTGAAACTGTGTGTCAGTTGTTGAATGCAGAGTGGACATGACCTGTCATGCTGCAGAGCTGAAATCCCAGATATTTAAAAGGCAATAACTTCTTTGTTGACATGTTGCCCAAATGTTGCTGCGTAGTCCTTACTGCCTGCAGCATAGCTGCATTTCCAATACCTTTGATTGTTTAACCCAAGTCTGCTTTATTTGAGAAACTTCTGTTTAGCTGAATTGGGGATTTGAGAACTTAAGAAAAGCATGAAATCATAGCAATCAAGTGTAGGTAGGAAAAGAGATTGCTTCTGCATTTTTCTTTGTCTTTGGGGCACACTGGCAGTGAAGGAGATGTGTGAGTGTCAGAAGTGTTGAACGTTTTTCACATCTTCCTCCTCTGACCCTTTTCCCCTTCAAGGACCATTAGTTTTCCTTTTAAAACAGTATATTTCTCATCACAGCTTTGAGAAAAATCAGTGAAAGTTTATGGAGAGGCAGTGCGGAGAAAATTCGTACGCAGGTATTTGAGCAGTGTGCAGTAGCACATTTTAAGCAGTAGTTAAGAAAGGTACTATTTATACATTTGCACCTGCTTGCTATTTAGGTCTGATTTAGCCTCTCTTTGTCACTGATCTTTTTAAAATGTCTTTTATTTTAGTAGTACTTCTTAGTAAAAATGAAATGGTGTAAAGCCATTGAAATATTTATGTGGGACAATGGGAAGGATGTCAGAAGGCTGTGATCTCAGCTGCCGCTTTGCCTTCTGCCCACATGGGACACTCAGTTCTCACGTGCTATATTCTTTAAACTTCCAGTGAACTTAATAGCCAGAAACTGGTAGAAAGTGACTGTGATTGAAATGGCCTTTCTGTGCTGATAGGTTTTTGACATGCTGTGGCTTTGTTTTGCATTTAGCAGGTTCTTAGTATCATGGGGCGAGAGGACAGAGGCCATCCTAATGCAGGAAGATTGATACTTCTTTAGCTTGCAGCAGTCAGTAAGTCATTTCTGGTTTATTCCTTTCGTTTCCAGGTGTGACATCTGTTGCATTACTTTTCGTACTCATCGGGGCTTACTGCGCCATAATGCAGTTATCCACAAGCAGCTTCCCAGAGATCCCATGGGAAAGCCTTTCATTCAGAACAACCCTTCAATTCCAGCAGGCTTCCACGACTTGGGATTCACGGACTTCTCCTGTAGGAAGTTCCCCCGCATTTCTCAGGTAATTTCTGGTCTTCATACTTTAAGATGGCAGCTGATACAGTGCATAACTTCTGAATCCATTGAAAGACTCGTCCTTGTTGAGGCAGAGACGAGGTGTAGAATATTTGGTGGAAAGCATGTTACCACTATCTGTGGAGGCTTCAAACACTTTCTGCCTTTCCTTTTTCTTTTTACATCTGAAGAATATTTGGATTGGGTTTTTTCAGCGTTCCAGTGGATAACTACTGCTGTAAAGATTTATAAAAATATTTTAAAGGAAAACTTTGCTGACAGGAGATCCCTGCCCCTTCCAACCTGCCCATTAGTTCTGTCCTTCCCCAAACCACCCCACGCCTAAAATCAATAGGGAGGACACACGGTGAGGAAGACATTATTTATTTTATTTACTGTAACAAGGATGTAGTTGTGGTGTGAAAGACTTTATCACAAAAAAATTTGGGAAGTCACCTTACTTACTGAATGGTGCCATCTTCAGTGATTTCTTCACAACACACTCCCAGGCACCTTTCCACTATGTTCCTTACGTGAGGTCTGAAGATTTTGCACCTTTGAGGGACGTTGGTTGAGGAAAGGCAGGTAGGTAGTCTAAATATTTTTCCGAGAGCCATAAAGCTTTCTCTTGGGTGGTATTACTGCTCCCTCTGTCAAACCTTGCCTGCCTTAGTTAGTTTGGGTCTAGATGAAGCTGCTTTTCTATTTAAAAAAAAACAAAACAAAACAAAACCCAGCGCAATCCAGCAGGACCATGCTTATTCAGTATCTGCACTTCTCGTATTCTGCTTGGGTTAAAGCATTGATTTCCAGCTCTTCTGGCTGCAAGGTGGTAGAATTGAAATTTGCTGCTGGTCCAGGGGAGCATGTAGGTCATTCTGTAACTAGGAATGTTTTGGTGTGGAAGTTACAAAATCAGGAGAAAAGAACTTGCTTTTATTCCTTTTGTAGTTAATGACAGACATTTAAAGTTACTAAGTGATTTAAATGTTGGCACTTTCCTCTTGTAATGATTTTGCTTGCACTGTTAGGGAGGACATATGAAGTAGCTGCCCAGAGTGTGTAACTGTAAAGAATGTAAAGATCTGGCCAGCCTTCTACTTAATTTATCAGTTGTGCTCTTCTTTGATGTGGAACCTCTGCAACATGTGAGCTATCTGGGTAGTATTTAAATACTTTGTTTGTATTCATGATTGCTTTCAGGGGTAGGTATAAAATCCATTTGTGAGCTTAGTATTTTTCTTGGGAGAATAAATGTATTCAGACTTCCCTAACCAAAAGCCTTTCCACTTTGGGCTCTGCATTTCATTTATTTGCCTTTGGGGGATATTATTTTGGTTGGTTTATGTTGTTTTGCCTTCTTGGATGCCTTTTTCTTTTCTCCTCTCCTTCTAGTTTCTTTGTAGTAATAAAGCTAAAGGAGGTAGTCTTACTGCTTAGTGTACTGAAGTTCGCTGTATAGTCTACTGAGGCTCCCGTCCTGTCAGTGAAGTGAGAGAGGTTTCTGGAGGGGGGAGTTCAGAATGGAAAAGTATTTGAGAGTCTGAATTGCCCTCTGAAGGAGTTTGCCTTTACAGAAGGGAACTTTTGGAGAATCAGCCCCTAATTCAAATACACCACTTAGGTGACTAAAGGCTGCGGAGCAGCAATATCTCCATGCCAGGTAGGTGGTGGCTGCTCTAAACTCCTTAACTTGGGCAGTGGAAGAGACAGTGAACTATTTTTTGGTTTGCAGCATGTGATGCCTTTCCGGTTTGAGTTGGCTACTCCAAATATTTTTGCATGTCTTGCAGGTCTGGTGTGAAACGAATTTGCGAAGGTGCATCAGTGACTTCCATCGATTTATTTGTGAGACATGTAACAAGGCATTCCCCATGCTTTCAGCGCTCAAACTGCACACAGAAACTCACGTGGTGGATCAGGGAAAAGACAAGCACAAACCACAGTCCATGACCCCACCCGGCGAGAACCCAGACCAGAAAGCCTTCATGGCATCCTTGGGCCTACAGTACACCAAAGACATCAAGCCTGTCAAGCAGGAGGACAATACACAAGATGAGGTCCAAGAAATGCGGCTCAGAGCACTGAAGAGTAACCTACCTCAGGAACCCAGCAGCACCAGTCTGCTCAGCCTCTCTTCCCTGGAAGCTGCCTCTATGGGAGGGTCATTTTCAGTCCTTCCCCCTACAAAAGAGAACATAAAGCTCCTCTCGCTGCAGCCTTTCCAGAAGGGTTTTATCATCCAGCCTGACAGCAGTATTGTGGTAAAACCCATCTCCAATGAATCTGCTATTGAGCTGGCAGACATTCAGCAGATCTTGAAGATGGCTTCTTCTGCTCCTCCTCAAATCAGTCTTCCTCCACTTTCTAAGGCACCTTCTGTCCCTGTGCAGTCCATTTTCAAACATATGCCGCCGCTGAAGCCAAAGCCTTTGGTAACACCGCGAACAGTCGTCGCAACCTCTACGCCTCCTCCTCTTATCAGTGCCCAGCAAGCCTCCCCTGGCTGCATCAGCCCAAGCCTCCCACCTCCCCCTCTGAGGCTGATCAAGAACTCGGTAGAGTCCTCCTCCAACTCTCACCTTCCCCAGCCAGGAGCCAAATTGAGTCCTTCCTCACAGTTGCTCCTCCAACCCAAAGTAGAGCCTTTAACTCAGCACGAGATGAAGACACAACTGGAGCAGGACAGCATCATTGAAGCTCTCCTGCCTCTGAGTATGGAAGCCAAGATCAAGCAAGAGGTCACAGAAGGAGACCTCAAAGCCATCATCGCAGGGGCAGCGAACAAGAAAGCCCCAACCATGAGGAAAGTTTTGTACCCCTGCCGTTTCTGTGACCAGGTGTTTGCCTTCTCTGGTGTCCTGAGAGCTCACATCCGTTCTCACTTGGGTATTTCCCCATACCAGTGTAACATTTGTGACTACATCGCAGCTGACAAGGCAGCGCTGATCCGGCACCTGCGGACGCACAGCGGGGAGAGGCCTTACATCTGTAAAATCTGCCACTACCCATTCACAGTGAAAGCCAATTGTGAGAGGCACCTGCGAAAGAAGCACCTCAAAGTGACCAGGAAGGATATAGAGAAAAACATCGAATATGTCACTAGCAATGCTGCAGAGATGGTGGATGCCTTCTGCTCCCCCGACACTGTGTGCAAGCTGTGTGGCGAGGACCTGAAGCATTACCGGGCCCTCCGCATTCACATGAGGACGCACAGTGGCTGCCAGAAGAAGAAGCCATTTGAGTGCAAGGAGTGTGGCACAGCCTTTTCAGCCAAGAGAAACTGCATTCACCATATCCTCAAGCAGCACTTGCATGTGCAAGAAAGGGAGATTGAGAATTACATCTTAGCGGTGGACTGCAGTGCCCAGGAAAGCCAGACAGACCCTCCTTTATTGGAGGACAGCACTTATATGGACCACAAGCCCATGACACCTTTCCTGGAGCCACAAAACGGCTTCTTGCTTGGGACGTCATCTCACGTTCCCGTCAAACTTGAACCTACCGGCAACTTCCCGATGGATTTTGACGAGCCGTTGGATTTCTCTCAGAAGAACAAAAACCTGAGTGCTGTGCAAGTGAAGCAGGAGAACCCGTTTGGCTCTTCTCCCCTGTCCCTCTATGACTGTTCCATGGAGCCTATTGACCTGTCCATCCCCAAAGTCCTGAAGAAGGATAAAGATGATGTCCCATATGAAGCCAGGAATCAAGAGTTGGCTGCTTCTGGGAACAGTGATAAAGCCTATAACTGTCTGCAGTGTCCTTTGGTTTTTAGTACCAATGGGAACTCAGAGGCAAACAGGGCTGTCAAACATCCCCAGCCACTGAAAGGTTCATTGCATTTGACTGTCCCAATCATTTCCCCGGCTCTCCTTGGCAATTCTGCCTTGCTGAGACCCTTGAGGCCTAAGCCACCACCACCACCTCTCTTGCCAAAGCCTCCAGTAACTAAAGAGCTGCCACCGTTGGCTTCCATTGCACAGATCATTTCATCTGTTTCATCTGCTCCTGCTCTGCTGAAAACGGAGGCTGCAGATGCCAGTCCCAGAGCAGTGAGCAGCTCCACTGGGTGTGACAAATCAGGGAACGCCAAAGCAAAAGTGACAATCGTGACCACCGTTCAGAGAGACTCCAGCCTGCCCGGTGACCTGACTCAGGCACGTGATCCAGAGCAGTCTCCCGTTGTTGATGCTGGGTTGACTAAGAAAAGAGGTAGAAAGAAAGGAACGAAAAATAAGCCTAAACTTAGCAGTGGTGTGGATCTGGAGTCAAGTGGGGAGTTTGCCAGCATAGAGAAGATGCTGGCTACCACAGACACTAATAAATTTAGCCCGTTTCTGCAGTCCACTGACAATTTCAAGGAAGAATGCGGCAGAAATGGAACAAGTGAGGACGAGAAGGAAACTGCTGAAGATAAGCTGCTGAGAGGGAAGAGGAATGCTTACTCAGACTGCCTGCAAAATATCCCCTGTCCTTACTGTCCTCGAGTCTTTCCATGGGCAAACTCCCTGCAGCGGCACATGCTCACTCACACAGGTAAGAGCGAGCGCCTTGTGCTCACAGTGGATTGTAGACCCTGAGGATGTTCCTCATGGAAGGGCTTCCTGTGGAGGGATCTTCCTTTCTTGTCCTCTCTCTGATGTCTGAATTGTATTCTTTGTTATTTTGCAAATCCTTAGCCGTTGCTGTTGTGTGGTGGTGGTGGTAAATTTCTCAGTGCCTTTGAGTATCGGGGGGCCAATTAAACTGCTAAAAGCCATTTGACTTCAGTGGCATAAGTTGGTGTCTCTGGGAAAAGATTCTGGTTTCAAGTGTTCTGTTATTATTGTCTTGTCTCGAAGGCAAACGTGTGTGTTGAATATATTCGTTGTGCCTTATGTGGTTTGTTTGGCCGCTTCCAGTGGTTGTTTGTCTGCATCAGTAATGATAAAAAGATCCATAAAAATGACAGCAAATAAATGGAGAATTGTGGCAGGAAAATAAAAATAATATAGAGTTTATCATTTTTGTTCTTGCGGTGGCTTTTATTTGACGGATCAAAGAAGGAGGATGCGAGAAACATCATCCTGAGCATTATGTAGTAGCTTGCCTCTAGGAAATGTTTCTTCTCAGTGCTAGACAACTAAAGGTGGGCTTATGCCCGAAGGCGTGGCAATGTGTATGGAATCTTTAGTATCGTGCTACTGTGTAAGTAACCACAAACCTGGTGTAAACAAAAAGAGGAATTGGGGAGGGGAGATTAATTCTAGGTGTGGGGTTATTTTTCATTCTTCGCTATAAAGGAAATACTGTGTTGAATAGTGTGCTAGCTAGCAAAAGTTCACTCCTTTTTCCACCCACACTGTAATAAGGTAATTAGCAGATTCTCATCCTGCTAGGAGAGAGAGAGGACAGAGCTCTACTTGCTCCCTTTTAAGTCGGTCACAGTTATTGATATTATTTGCTTCATTATGCAATCTCAGCTCCCGACGTAAAGAGTAAAAGGGATATTTGTAAGACATGTCGGGGAATTGGGTAGAGCTTCCTAAAAGGTAACTTCATTTTTTTGAAGGAATCGAGGTTTCCTGGAGCAACTGATTCATGTCTGTGCTAAAGAGGGAAACCTGAAGAGGTAAAAGAGGATAGCTAAGAGGTTTAAAGGGAATCTGAGCTGTGAAGCAGTCCCTATTACAGTTTGCTTTGGGTGACGCAGGGACATAACTTGCAAGGTGTCAGTGCAACAGTGAGGGTATTGTTTTCTGGCCCACAGAGACAAAATTATTTCATCTTATTAAGCATACAGTTTACTTTCCATGGTGAAGGAGAGCTCTTTATTCGTATCAATTGTTTTCTAACACCCTGCTCTCCAAAAAAATATATATAGTTATGAAGAACCGTTCGTGAGACAGAAGACAATAGAGAGGCTTTTCCCAGACTAAGGGGTTTGACCTGCTTATTGATGGCAGACTTCCAAGGTAGCAGCACTCATGTAAACCCTTAATGAAGACAGGAAAATGCACTCGGCCATGAGTTATACTGGTAAAACTGGTCTCCCCTACCACCACCAGGCTTCGAAGGAGACACTGTCCTTTCAGAAAGCCTGTGCTGCAATCCTCGTGAGGAAGGCAAGCAACTGCAGCTGTAGGAGGGCTGGATCCTCAGTACAGATACAAGATTTCTGGTGATACTATGGCAGTGGCAATAATCAAGATTCTGGTTGGTGCGCTCTGGCAGTGATAATATTGAGCTCTTTTCTAATCATCGTCATCAGAGCAGTGTTGAGGGAGACTTGTGCTGGAGGACCACCCCACAGCAAGCTTTGACTGGCCTTGGGACATCTCCTTCCAGGTGACACTAGTACTCTGTTTCTAAACTGGGAGTTCACAGCAGCTCCCCTGTGGCAGCACTGTAGATGAGACTTACTGGAGGGGCGAGGGAAAGGTAAGCTGGGAAGGTAGAGGAGATTCAGGCCAGGGAGGTGGTGCCAAAGCAAGTGCTAGGATGCATTCAGGTGGACCGAGACCAGTATTTTTGTGGTGAGTGTCAGGTGCTGGTGGCATGGGAGGAGTTTGGCAGCTGCATGATAGATACAGCAGTTTGTTGAGTTGTTGTTCTGGTGGAGACATTTACAGTGTCGTAGTGCAATGCACCGTTTCTGTCACCACCTACTGTGCAGGCAGTGGCTTGTTAGGTAGCTCTGTTTTTTAAAAGGAGTTAAGAAAAAGTTCTAGTCACTAATCTTACTGTAAAGAGAAAAGGGGAATTTTATTGTCTGAGCTTGATAGCTGCTCCCAGACCCGGGGAAAGAAGGGGCCAAGAGGCTGATGTGAATGGGACAGATGAGAGTCCTGGTGATCTGCTTCCACACTGCATGTGTTGGGTATCTGCTCCATAGGGAGTCACTGCAGGAAAGCTGGTCCATACTCCTAGATTTCTGTAGTACGCTATCAGGAAAACAAGGCAGTCATTTGAGCTAAGAAGTGGCAACTAGCTCTTCTCCATCCATTTGTAGGAAAGTTGTTATTGGAGTAGTTTATAATTAATAGTGGGAGAACATGGTTGAGGAAAAGGTATATAATTTTGAGCATTTAAGTAGTATCTGTATATTACCAGCTTTAAACTACTGTGTTTATACAAACATGAAAAGATTTTTGCAAGTGTGTCTCATGTTCAGTAAGATTTCGACATGGAGGACTCCTTCCACGTGGTGTCAAGATTGTATTTACCTTTTGTGAAAGTGCAAAAATGCACATGCTACCAGTAACCCACATCCCTTGCTCAACCAAAAGTCTCTCTCATGAAAGTTTTTGCCCTTCTTATTCTTGCCTCAGCACCACTGTGTGTTTTTTAGTTCAAAAGCATTTCCCTGAAGAAGCATACACCTTCCTCACTGGTTTTTGTTTTAATGCAAACCTCACAAGTGGGGCACTGGGAATTTGGCATAGTTTGGTTTTATAGAGTGTTTAACACAGTACCTGTGTTTTGTTTGAACATGCTTAAACACTTGCTTTTGATACTTTCTTTCTCTTGATGTCTTTGTTGTTTAATTTACTCTTCTATGTTAAGTTGGTTTGCCTTTCTTTTTTGCTTTTCTCTCCTGCTCTTGACGTTTTTCATTCTCAGAGCAGCAAGTAAGATGTGCCCTGCAGGTGGTGCAGTTAATTTTGCTCCTTTTATGGCATGTGCATCAGACTACGTTCAATGTAAAATTAAAATAGTAGTCTTTTTTTGGCCATTAGTTTGTTATAGATAACCTAAATCTGTTCGCATAGAATCACTTAAGGATATTTTCAGAGTGATACTGCCAAATCTTATTTGGCCCAAGCTTATTTTTTGTAGAAAGTGAGACTGAATGGCAGAGGAGGGCTTTTTGGGTTTTGGGTTTGTGTTGTTTTGCTGTTACAACAGGAATTAACTGGATAAGGAAAAAATCCATAAATAAAGTAATAAAAAAATAGAATACAGCCCATGAGCTTGAATGTTTCCTGTTGATTGGAGGACACAAGTCATCAAAAAAAAAAAAAAAGGACCGGAGGCATTTTTATTCTTTGCTTTTATGACTTAAGTCAAAGTGGAATTGTAGACGTCTTTAGTTTGTGACGTTTGACTTTACCATGGCCGTAATGTGTTTCCAATAGGGCAACAGTGGCAGGAAGTATCTTAATTAAGGAATGCCCTTCTTACATGCCATGATTATTTCGATGACCCTTTATATTGAAAAAGACTCATTTCAGATGACTTGCTTCCACTAAGTGTCCAGCCACGACTAGTCCTGCTGTGCTGCTAACGAAATTTTACAGTCAGTTCTGAGTCAATATGTAGGCACAGACCATTCTTACGGAACAAGTTAATAAAAAATCAAGTCACATTGCAATTAGACTGCCTGTTTAGGTTACCCTCCAGTGAGTAATCACATTTTATCAGAAGAGCAGTTGCCTTTAAGGGACAGTACAGGAAGCAGAGAATACTGCTTTTTTGAATCATCTTTTTTGAGCATTTAAAGGTGACATTTTTGGAAAGCAATCTTGTTGCCATTTGGGGATAAGACCGTAACTTGGAGTGGGAGGATTGGAGTTTTGGATTCAGTAAGCAGGATTTTTGTTTGGGTTTTGAGGACATTTGTGTGGAAAGAAGAGTGTCTTACCTGTTGTAAGTGTTGGTCTGTATGACAAATATTTGGTTGATAACAAAAGTTTTAAAGGCTGAAAATATGAGAAAATTGTGACCCGGGATGCCGGTTGAGTTTCAAGTAATTAATCCGCAGCTAATCCTGTCATTGCATGCTTGAAAGGAAATGTGGAAAGGAATTGGACTATCATGAAGCAAAAGGATTTCTGCTCAGCTTTGAAGTTCTGTTTTGTATTTGCGTTGTGAATGAAGGCAAATAAAAGTGCAGAAAGTGGTGATATTCATAACCATAAATTTATGGTTGACTTAGGAGGCATCTAAAAAGAAGGAGTGACTTGAAAGCCTACAAAAAGTGGTGCCTTGATGCTTCTACAGAGTTGTGTTGACACTGGAAGGAAAGACACAGCGCCTGAGATGTCTGCAAGATAAGGGGAATCCCTTGGTACAGGTTGAGATGTTAATTAGAACAGAACCAACTTGCAGAAGATTAAAGAGAGCAACATACCCACAGAGTTGTATCAAAGAGGCTGCTGGCTGGGGGGTGGGGGGTGGGGGTGGAAGGTATGACAAGAGGTGATCTCCTTTTGCAAGTAACTATCTTCACAATCTCTCTCTTCGTCATGAAGATGTCTTGCAGGACTACTTACCTCTTTGCACTGCATGATCTTGGCTTTTCTTTCAACTCTTCCTGCACTCAGTCCCTTCCCTTGTTCTAGTCATTTAAATGAATTACAGATATGAAAAGCTCTCTCCTATGGGGAGGTGATTGATTGCTTATTCAACATACAGGGCTTGATTCTGCTGAAGTCAATGGAAAGATGCCCCATGGCTTTGATGGAAGTTATGTCAGATTCACATGGGTGATAAACGTCTCAAGAGAGAGCCTGCTATTGGGGAGCTTGCAGTCAGGATGTTGTAGTTGGTCACCA